TTCCTCTCCACCAGCCTGTTCTGAAATTAAGAAAAAAAAAATTTTTAGTTGTAATTGGACACAATACATTTATTTTATTTATTTTTTTATGGTGCTGGGAATCAAACCCAGGGCCTTGCTCGCGCTAGGCTACCCAATACATAATTGTTTATTAATTTTATTTTTATGTGGCACTAAGGATTGAACCCAGTGCCTCATACGTGTGAGGCAAGCGCTCTACCACTGAGCCTGAGCCCCAGCCCCAGCCCCCAGTACATAATCATTGAGTAAATGTTGCATGAAAAGGTGCAAAAGGTGGGCTCGGTGGTGATTACCTGTAATCCTAGTGACTTGAGAATTAGAAGCAGGAGGATTGTAAGTTTAAGGACAGCCTGGCCAACTTAGCAAGACACTGTCTCAAAAAAAAAAAATGAATTAAAAAGCAGGTGGGCTGTGGATGTAGTTCTGTGGCAGAGCATCCCTTGTTTAATCCACAGTAATGCAAAAATTAAAAAAAAATATGACAGTCCCAAAGAAAATGGCTTGTTTGATCAGCAGGTAGCTGGCTGTAGGGGGATGAAGAGAGAAGAAAACTGATAAAAAGTGTGGGCTTGCTAATAAGGAAGTGCCTTGGTTACTGATTCAAGAAACAACATGGTTTATAGAAGATGAAAGAGGAAGATAGCCAGATGTACTGGCAGAGTTTGGAAAAAGAGAAATAGGAAGAAGAGATGAGCAGTTCAATGAGATTCTGAACTTTGGAGACAGAGAGAGATGGGGATGAAGAATTGTTAGGATCTGGTATTATATGTGCAGATATAGTCTCTCTTGGTTTCTTCCTCAAGAAAATCTTTGGCAAAGCATCCATATTGATGGGGAGAGCATGCCTATATACATTAGTGGTTACAATTGAAGGCTTTAGGTTAGAACCCATTGATTGGGTTCCAGTCTCAGCTTTGGCACTCATCATGTGACTTTGGGCAACTTCTCAGTGCCCTGATTTGCTTATCTTTTTATTTTTTTAGTACCAGGGATTGAACTCAGTAGCACTAGGCCACTGAGCCACATCCCCAGCCCTTTTTTGTATTTTATTTAGAAACAGGGTCTCACTGAGTTGCTTAGCACCTCACTGTTGCTGAGGCTGGCTTTGAACTCCTGCCTCAGCCTCTGGTTTGCTTATCTTTGAAATGAGTATAATACTAGTGTCTACCTTGTGTAGCTATTTTCAGGAGTCACTGAGATAATAAGATTGGATATGTTTAACACAGTTCCTGGATTAGTGGCAGCCTGAGGTTTGTTAGACTTCATTTCTTTTTCAGAGACACAGAAGTTGATTTAGGAAAGCAGAAGCACATTCAAGAAAGAATGTGGGCTATCTGAACTGAGAAGCTTTGGGCATAAAGCAAGGAATACATTACATTCAAGGGAGGACATTGGCCATCTCCAAAGGCGTAACAGCTGTTAGCTGTCATTTCTATTATTATGATATAGTTTAAAAGATGAGAGATCTATAGGCATTGACAATAAAAAACGTCCAAGTATATTACCACAGTTCATTAAATGAAGATGCAAGTGACAAACACTGCAGATGTAAGATTCCATTTGTATATATACAAAATGAATGTCTGCAGCATACATGCACAGGAATGCCACTCTCCACGATGATGGGTCTCAGGATGGGAACAAGAAAGTCCAGTTTCATTTGGATTATGTCCATGGTGTAGCTGAGGAAACAGACTTAAAAATTAAGTAACTTGCCTAAGGTCATTCTTGAAATGAACTAAGTTGTGATTGAAGTTCAAGTCTTCTTGACTCCACAGTCTGCGATCAGGCAGGTAAAAGAAGGGAAAGGAGTGAGTGATGTCAGGCACTGAAGGAGAGGAAGGCTGGTTGCATCCTGAGGCCTCTCTGGAGGAAGAGGAGAGCTAGGTAGAACTGGAGCCTGCCAAGGGGCTTAGTGCTGAAATGGTTCTAGGGAGGTTTATTTGGAAGCTGTTGCTAATGGTGCTAATGGCCCCAGTGAACTGTGAGCCTGTGTGGTCAGAAGGTAGGGCATGGAGAAGTGTCTGAAACCAGAGAGGGAGGAGACTGTGCAGGGAGGAAAGGACCCACTCTGGGTGACATTGTAGGTGGTCAGGCAGCAACTGTGTACAGAACAAGTAAGAGAGTGTTTGGAGGCATGGGGACTGGGGAGGGGATGGTGCAAGTGAGCTTGGTTTCATTGAGTTTAATGTAACAAGCTGCAAGGGATGTCTGGAGCTAGGGCAGATGTTGTAATTGGAAATCACTATAGGATAAGTGTCCCTTATCTGAAATGCTTGAGACCTGAAGTAGTTCAGATTTTGGAGTTTTTGGATTTTGGAATATTTGCATAGACTTTAGTAGTTGAGCATCCTTAATCCAAAAATCTGAAATCCAAAATGCTCCAAAATCTGAAACTTTTTTTTTTTTTTTAATCAGGGATTGAATCCAGGGACACTTAACCACTGAGCCACATCCCCAGTCCTTTCTATTTTTTATTTTGAGATAGCCTCTTGCTAAGTAGCTTAGGGCCTGGCTAAGTTGATGAGGCAGGCCTGAACTTGTGATCCTCTTGACTCAGTTTACCAAGGTGCTGGGATTACAGATGTGTATCACTGCATCCAGCTAAAATCTGAAATTTTTGAGTGCAATATTTCAGATTTGGGGGCATTTTGGATTAGGGATGCTCAACCTGTAATAAGAATGATAGCTAACATTTATTAACCACTGAATATATGTAGACCCTGTTCTAAATTCTTTACATACAGTATATTGATTTCATCTAAAAACTCTCTGATGTAGACCCATTTTAAATCCCATTTTTGTAGGTGAAGAAACCAAGTTCACATTTACTGAGCATTTACTGGGTACCAGGCAGGATTTGACTGACCTGATTTAATTTATTCTCTAAAGCCATATCATGTGATATGGCTATTATTGTCCTTGTCATAAGCATGAGCAAACTGATGTCCTGAGAAATTAAAAAATTTGCCCATGCTTATGCATGGTCAGTCTAGGGCTCAAAACCTGGGGATCCAACTCTAAAGCTGGTGTCCAATACCCCTTTTCAAAAGTTAGAGCAGGAGGTGGTGAGAAAATAAGAAGGGTTTTTCAGGAAGTGTGTTTGTTCAGTACTGACTGTTACAGAGCCAGGAAAGGGAAAATCATGAACTTGACCCTGAGCTGTGCCAACTGGGAAGTGCTTGAGAACTCTTAGAAGTGCAGTTTCATAAGAGGTGTGGTTGAGTAGGGTGCCAGTCTGCAGGGATCAGAAAACAGAAGCAGAAGCAGAAGCAGAGAGGCAACCCCAAGTACTGTAAGTTCTCTCCTGCCTTGTGTAACTAGCACCCAATAGGCAGGACTGTGTTCCTTTGTACATTCCTGCTTCTCCCTGGTGATGGTTAGTTTGCTTGACTGAGCTTTTCCTTCTCCTACCAAGAATCCTGTTGCCCTGGGTGATCAGAGGTGGTGCCCCACACAGCCTTTGGAACTAAACAGCCAGAATAATCCTGCCTGGAGTTAGGGAAGGAACTCTATAAATCATGGGTTTTTCCAGGACTCCATACCAACAACTGTTTACAGTTTTCATTACACACAACAAAACATCTTAAGTACTAACAAGACTGTTAGTACTTAAGGCTGAAGATCGCCTTACCTGTCATGAGTACTTCTTAATTGGCACCTACAACTTTTTAAGACCCACTCAGCACACTCAAGTTCCCTTTCTCTAGCATCCAGTCTAGGAAAGATCAAAACAACCATTTGCCCAGGGCGGCACCAATTGGCCATGGTATCCGGTGGTTTTATTGCTCTGTAATAAGGTTACTTATGCTCTTTAAGTTCCTTAATCACCATGTACATGGATTCTCATCTGCCTTTTTCTTTATGCTACCACCAGTGGTTGCCTTAAGATATTAGGCAGTATGCACATTCAGACTTCTGAGAGCTATAAGGCAACTGTTGACACTGTTTACCTCCAGGGACTTGTTATTGGACTTCTGTCTGCCTAAGCAACAGAAACATGGCCTTGGGAACATCTTATTTTAGTTGGAAGGCAGCCTTGGTGGAGGCCTCAGAGGTCCTCGCCTAGGACACTGGCCCACAAATATTTCATTCTTACTGCAGAAAATAATCCCAGACTCTTTGCTCGTAGACTTTCTGGCATTTTACTGTGGAACTATTAATGGCAGCTAGACCAAGTGGCACACCTAACCTCAGTTTCACACGTGGAGCAATTTTGTAGAACAAGTCCCCCATCTGTTTGGAGTATGGTATGGTGGGCAAACTGAAGCAGAGGTTTTTGACAAGTCCAGGTGCCTGGTTATGACAGAGCTGACACCTACCCAGGCTTCCTGACTCACTATGGTCAGTACCTTTTCTGCCACAACGAACTGCTCCTGGTGGCTGGTGTACTACCAGAGTCGTAGGGCGTTCATTTCCTTGGTCATAAACCCCACGTCCACGGATGACAGCAAGTCAGAAATGGTCAGAGTGCTTACTCTGAGCCAGAATTCCGGCCACAAACGAAATTGGCCTTGTGGCTGGAAGCGGATAACGTGAGGAACTGTTCCACACCATTCCCAGATCTGCCCAAGACGTGCAGCTACGAGGAAATGAGCATTTGGGTGGCGAAGCATCGGCTTTAAGTGTTTCTGTGGCCTCCTTTTCCCGCCGTTTTCCAAAATGCAATGTTTCGAGTGCTCTCTTGCAAAGAGCAGTCTACAGATGAGGTCGCGCTGAAACTTAAACGAAGCGAGTACCTCCGACGGCGGCGGAGCCCTCAGGGTGGAAGCCGAAGCTCTGCCCGCTTACGCAGTGCTGGGGGCACCTAGAAAAGCCTGGAAGCAGCCGCACTTCCAGCCCCGCCCACTGGCGCCCCAGCGCCGGGCCCGGAGCAGTGGAGAAGGCGGCCTCCCGCCGCCTAGAGGTGCCAAGTCCGGGCGTCCGCTCTGCCCGTGCCACGTCTCTATGGCGACCCTAACGGCCGACTGGGTCGCCGAGCGAGATGAGCGCGGGCGCTGACGGCGGCGGCGCTGCGGCGGCGCGGTCCCGAGAGGGTAGTTCCGCGAAGGATGGCTTCGTCCCGTCGGCACTGGGGACCCGAGAGCAGTGAGTATGGCGCGGGATAGGGAGGGCGAACTGCGCTGGCCGGCCTGGGCCCGGGCGGGGGTCGGCGGGGCGGGGCCCGGGGGTGGGGGCGTGACGGCGAGGCCCAGGGCGGTGAGGGGCTTGCCGGGGGCCGTTAGCCTGTCTTTACCCGCGTGGAGCAAGAGGGGCTTGGGTGCGGGACGGGCTCTGAAAGCTTTTGGGGAGGCCATTTAGGGATCCTGGGGTGAGGCGGCGAGTGAGGGGCCGAGGGACCACCTGGGGACCTGGGGTTGAGACGGTCGGGACCTTAGGCGCCGGCGAGGATAGGCGAAGGAGACCCGCCGAGCGAGCGAGGGAGGAATCGGGGGTGAGAGGCGGCGGCTTGCCGTCGGAGAAAGTGACCTGCCGCGTCCGCCATCACAGCGGAGGCTGAGGCAGGAGCATCGCGAGTTGGAGGCCAGCCTGGGCAACTTAAGGAGAATGAAAAGGCCTGAGGCTGTGGCTTGGTGGTAAAGCAATCCTGGATTCCATCCTCAGTACTGCAAAAAACAAAACAGACGTTCAGTAATTGTTCAGTGAATTATTAGACGAATGAAAATGTGGAAAAAAGTTAGGATGAGAAATAATTTGGAGAGGTAAGAGGGAGTAGGGATTCTTGAGATGTATAGGAAAATGACAGGGGTGTATATGTAAAATGATTGAGAGAAGACTTAAGCGGAGTACTAAATTTTCACAGGGCGAAGTGGAGACATCCCAGGAAAGAGACTGGTTTAGGGAGGGAAATTGAGAGAGAAGGGAAATTGCAGGGAAATGGAAGGAGACCCTCATTGTTACACAAAATTACATATAAGAGGTTGTGAGGGGAAGGGGGAAAAAAAAAACAAGGGAGAGAATTGAATTACAGCAGATGGGGTAGAGGGAGAAGATGGGAGGGGAGGGGAGGGGGGATAGTAGGGGATAGGAAAGGTAGCAGAATACAACAGTCACTAATATGGCATTATGTAAAAACGTGGATGTGTAACCGATGTGATTCTGCAATCCGTATTTGGGGTAAAAATGGGAGTTCATAACCCACTTGAATCAAATATATGAAAGATGATATGTCAAGAGCTTTGTAATGTTTTAAACAACCAATAAAAAAAAAAGAAAGAGACTGGTTTAGAACTTTAATCTTAATCTTTAAGCAGATTTTATCAGATGGGTTTCTTTGTGAGCAACTGCTGTACTGGTAGAAAATCCTATATCTGCACATCGAAAACCAAATATGCTGTAATGACCCTATGCTTGTACTGTCAAATTTTGGACATGGGTCTGGGACTTAAGAGATCCCTGGGCAGTGTTCTCTGTAATTTTTTAAGCTAAAATTAATAATATTTATTTTGCATGGATATTTAAAGTTCTTCATATGTAAACTTACTTTGCTGCCCACACTTTTCATTCTTTTGACTCAAGTATATTATGAAATTGAATTAACGTGCATTCGGTAACACTAATAAATTTTTTTTAATCCAAAATATGTTTATTGGGATGTTTTCCCATTCATCTTGATTCAGGCTGCTTTTAGTGCAGCTTCCTCCTGAAGGAACATCCTTCTGTAAGTCTTGCTTTTCCTCCCGTAGGCTGGCAGAGGACAGTGGAGCAGCCAACACACAAAACTACTGTTTGTGCATGGATAAAAACTGGTGATTTTATAGCATCCTGGGCATTTCATATCCATGAAATAGGAGTTGGGGCTCTGCACCAGGCGCTGCTTCTTGTGTTTCCCCTTCTCCTCTTCCAGAGAGGGATGAAGGAGATCCTTTGCAAGAGGCATATTCTCGTGGGGAGGTCGTCACTGCTGGAAAGACCAATAATGTTTTGAACCTGTCATAAGTAGCACTATATTGTATTGAAAACATATATTTGCTTCACAGTTTATTACAGTTTAATTCTAGAATCTTGCTTTGCATTTCATTTTTTACATAGTTGGGATGCTGTCTATGAGAGAGAACTGCAAACTTTTCAAGAATATGGAGATACAGGAGAAATCTGGTGAGTTAGGAAAGAATCAATTATGATCCAAAATACTATATGTCTGTGTGTGTTTACACTTATGTCAAAGAAAACCAAGGCTAAAAATCTTGGGAATTCTGGGTTGAATCTGGTTTAAGTGGGTGGATTTAAAGTATCTCTTTCCTTTTTTAATGATCCAGTTTTTTTTTTTTGTTGTTGTTGTTTTTTTCCATAATGACCCAGTTTTAAGTTGATAAGAGTATTAGGAAATTATCTTCATTCTATAGGTACTATTTTGCAATTTGCAATAAAATTTTAAGCCATCAACATATACTGATGTCTGAGATAGCAGTTTTGGGACATTTCCACATTTTAATGCTGATATAGAGAAATATTAATAAATAATACATTAATCTAGTCTGTTCTCTCTTGAGTTTTTGAAGGTGTTTTCTCCTAAATAACAATAGAGACAAGTTTAGGTAGTCACAAATACTCTACTCACTTTCAAAAAAGACTTAATTTGGGGTATGATATACAGTTTAAATAAATTGAAGTTGTAACTTTTGCTCTGTATCTGTTATTTATAACTTATTCTGTTTCTAACAGGTTTGGGGAAGAGAGTATGAATCGACTAATAAAGTGGATGCAGAAACACAAGATTCCACTGGATGCTTCAGTGCTTGATATTGGAACTGGAAATGGTGTTTTCCTGGTTGAACTTGTTGGTACTTTTAGTGTTCATGTGTTTAAACACAGTTTTAAATGAAATTATTAAGTCTTAAAATTGAGGATATTAATCATCTATAAAGTAATGAAGCAGTCATACCATCTTCTCTGAGAAGTCACATGATACAAAAGTGATACTGCATGGATTGTAAGAAAGCACTAAATGAATAGTGCCCCAGAATCCCAAATGCTATGATCCTGGATGTTGAAATCCCAAAAGATCAAAACCTCTAAAAGTCTAAAATCCTGAGAATTACAATACTGAAAGATTAAATTCTGAATTTTTAGATCCTGGAAGCCAAAAATCCTGAAAAACGGCAAATTCTATTTTTTTAAAAAAGACTATATAAGTGGGTAGGAAGTTGAATTCTGAGGAAGGGATTAATATATTTTCAGTTATATCCATGATAGTTGTATTGTGCTAGGTAAAATGAATACTGAGAAACTTGGCTAAGCATTATTTTTGGTGTATAACCTCCTCTGGAAAGTGAGATTGCTTTCCAGAGGAGGTTAATACCTAAGTCTGGCTGAATCTGAGTAGGTGGGGAAGGTGCCCCTCAATGTGGGTGCGCACCATCCAGTAGGCTGGAGGCCTTGAGAGAAGAAACAGAAAACTGAAAGCTAGAGTTTTTTCTGCTGTTTTGGACATGAGAACTTCTGACCTTTGGACCTCAGGACTTAACATCAGTTGCTTCTGGGCCATCAGGCTTTTGGCCTTGGAGTAAGAGTTAACACCATTGGCTTCCCTGGTTCTGAGACCTTTGAGCTTGGACTAAGCCATGCTACTGACTTTCCAGCTTGCAGACAGCCTGTCATGGGACTTTTTAGCTACCATAATTGTGTGGGCCAATTCTCCCAATTAATCCCTTCTTATATATTTATGTACATATCTTATTATCTCACTAGAGCACCCTAATTAGAGATTTGGTATTGGGGAAGCTAAATATTCCTTATTACACATGAAAGAAATCTGTGAAATTGTTTCCTCATGAAAAGGCAGTGATAACTTAAGTATACTAGTCTACTTAACAGTAGAAGCTAAAAGCTAGTTATAATTGGTTCTGTGAAAACAGAAAATTACTTAATTGAATGACCAAGCAATAACTGAACTTTCAAATAGACAACATGTACTTAAGTTTGTAGATTAAAAACTACTTTCCAGCCAGGTGTGGTGGTGTATACTTGTAATCCCAGCAGCTGAAGCCTGAGGCAGGAGGATCGTGAATTCAAAGCCAGCCTCAGCAACTTAGCGAGGTGCTAAGCAACTCAGTGAGACCCTGACTCTAAATAAGATATTAAAAAGGACTGAGAATGTGGCTCAGTGGTTAAGTGCCCCTGGGTTCAATCCCTGGTACCAAAGATCATCAACAACAAAAATAACAAAAAAATAAACCCCCATTGTTCATAAAAATGCAGTGAGTGTCTGAATTATAACAGAAGGAGTGAAAATGCAGGTGAAAAATACAAGAAATCTCCCCTGTCAAATCAGTTCTTCACTGCTCTTGCCCCTCCATACAGCACCATGCTCATTTTCCCAAAAAATGCCCTTTGTCAGAGAATACAAAGGATTTGACAAGCTCAGGGACATTCTGAATCAAAGGTTCCTCCAGTGTCACAAAACACATTAAATGGTGAACTCTTCTTGCATAGAAGTTTGACTGTTGAAGAAGATAGACTTATATTTAACATAGACAAATGAGTATATGCCTTACTTTGGTTAATGGAAAATACTTTCAAAATTATCTCACTTTAAAAAATTTTTTTTTATCACCTACAATAAAGTTCATGTCCTTGTTGGATCTGAAACTTCAAGGACTTATTTGCTCCTTTCTGTATTAGTGACTAGAAAATATGAATTATTTATAAAAGGCTTATTTGATGATTTGATGGACTTTGCAGAAGAAGTGAATTTCTTATGCATACCATAAAGACAGATTTGGAATTACGTGTGATCAAGACTTCTAAAAATGAATGTCAAGGTATTACCAACAAAGATTGTTTTTTCCATTTAGCCCAGTGCATGGGACAGAAATTTCAGGTGAATGTATTATCCATGATGTGATTCAGCAAGGATAAAAAGTTTAAAAATGTGTCATCTGTCTGCATTGGCATTCCTGATTCAAGGAGCTTTTAATGAATTAAATCCATATTTGCTTGAGGAGGGAGGCCAGTGATATCACTGACTGGTTTGAAAATAATTATGTGCTTGATAGGATAAGATAGGCAATGATGGCCAGCCGCAGTGGCCCACAGTGGCTTGGGAAGCTGAGGTAGGACGCAAGTTTGAGGCAAACCCCCATAACTTAGTGAGACCTTGTCTCAAAATAGAACTTAAAAAGGTTTGGAGGATGTACCTCAATGGTAGAACACACTTAGAAACACTCCAGTTGTTTCTGCTGAACTTGTTCTCTGTATATTGAATAAGTGTAGAAGAGTTTTCTGTGTAACCAAAACAACATAGCATGGTGCAGAAAATGGAAAATTTTAATAGAGAATGATCATGTTGCTCTATATTGAATCATAGAAGAATTTCAAAATGAGCAGTATGACAGAAAAGGAATATGCATGCATTCTCCACCGAGAGCAATACTTAAGAAAAGAAAAAACAGCTATTTATCTCAGTGCAAGACTTAAAAATATAGTTAATGATCTTGAGAGTTGATCAGCACTTATGGACTACATCTGTTCAGTTGCCCATACTCTATTCCCATAACACATTTTTCTTATATTGAATTTTCAGATTATTTTCCTGCTTTTTTTTGTCAACATTTTTTTATAATTGGTTATGCTTTGTATTTTGTCTTCACATCATTTTCAATAACAGAGGTATAAATTTTGTAAAGACTTTGAGAATTCTAATTTGTTTATGCATTTTTTTACAAATTAAATCCTGCAAATGTGCATTAGCAACAATGTTGAATTAGTATGTGGGCATTATACTTGTACATAAAAATATTGAAAATTCCTCAGTAAATGAAGAGATGTCTTTTTTGTACATCTGCATTTTTGAAAGATAAAATTTCTCCACCTCTGTTCTTCAAGCAAATGCATGTGTGATACTAACACATTGTGGTTTTTGATGTCACCTAAAAAAATATAGGTTGTCTTTCACAATATTTCAGATGATTGCAATTATAAAACTGGGTTTACACAATTTCTAGTCATAGTGATTTATGTTTATGTATTTCACTTTTTGACTTTTTTTTTTTTTTTTTAATTTTTAAGGTTATCCCCCCTACCCCACCCCCAGTACTAAGAATTGAAACCAGAGGTGCTCTACCACTGAGTTACATCTCCTGTCCTTTTTATGTTTTATTTTGAGACAGGGTCATGGAGGCTGACCAATACTCCTGCTTCAGCCTCTTGAGTAGCTGGGATTATAGGTGTGCACCATTATAACTAGTTTGATATATTTTTTTTTACAAATATTGTTTGTTCATAAATATTATACTTTTGCAAAGTGTTCAGTGTTAATGCTTGCAAAACATATGTTATTGTCTTATTATTTAAAGTGGCCTATGAAGCATTGTCATGTTTTATGTTTCTCAGATCTCTTTTTAAAAATGTAAAATGCATTTTTTTTTGGTACTAGGGGACTGAACCCCAGGGATGCTTAACCACTGAGCCACGTTCTCAGGCTTTTTTATTTTTTATTTTGAGACAGGGTCTGGCTAAGTTGCTTAAAGCCTCGCTGAATTGTTGAGGTTGGCTTTGAACTCTCGATCCTGCTGCTTCAGCTTCCTGAGTGGCTGGGATTATAGGCAGACACCACTGTGCCTGGCATGTAAAATATCTTTATTGGAAAGATTATTTTTTTTAGCCAGGTGCAGTGGTGCATGCTTGTAATCCCAGCTGCTTGAGAGGCTGAGACTGGAGGATTGCGAGTTCAAAGCCAGCCTCAGCAAAAAGAGAGGTGCTAAACAACTCAGCGTAGACCCTGTCTCTAAGTAAAATACAAAAAAACAGAGCTGGGGATGTGGCTCAGTGGTCGAGTGCCCCTGAGTTAATCCCCAGTATCCTGCCCCCGCGAGAAAAAGATTATTTTTTTCAGATTTATATTTTCTTTTTTTTTTTTGTAGAGAGAGAGGGAATGAGAATGAGGATTTTTTTTTTTTTAGTGTTTTTTTTGGCGGACACAACATCTTTGTTTGTATATGGTGCTGAGGATTGAACCCGGGCCGCACACATGCCAGGCGAGCGCGCTACCGCTTGAGCCACATCCCCAGCCCCAGATTTATATTTTCAAGAGTTTGATCTTTCAAGATTTTATACTTTAGGGATTTTGATCTTTTGTTCAGCATTCTGGATTATAATGTTTGGGATTGTGTCTTCTGGGATTTAAATCCCAGTGCCTTAATGAGAAGCCAGGGGATCTGAATCTTAGTCTTGGTTTTTGCTATAGCCTTGACCTTGAGCAAGCACCTTAATTTCTCTGGGTTTGGATTTTGACTAAGTGATTTCTATTGGTTTCTTCTAGCTCAAAACACCAGGAAGATGACCATTTGCAATTCCAATAGGCATATGTACTTATCTTAGGTGAGCGTATGATTTGTAAAGAGCATTTTGTCCATGGAACTGAATTTCAATACAAGTTCACTACTGGCTATAGCATCACTATAGTGTGCCTATAATGTGCTCATTGCTATGGAGAATGTATAAGATTTAGACTTCATCCTAAATGGTTGGACAGCCTGATTTGTAGACACATGTATGAATGAGTGAAATTTATTGAGTAACAAGCATGTGCTAAGCCTTATGCTAGGTACTGGAAACATCAAAATTTAGATTTTGTGCTTGAATTATTCCTGGTTTCATAGAGATGGTTTGAAATGCAGATAGTTAGGGTATAGTTTGATCTCTGTGGTAATAGATAAACTCAGTACAGAAGAGAGGGACCTGTTATTTATTTATTTTTCTCTTAAAACTAGGGATTGAACCCAGGTCTTTTACAAGCTAGGCAAGCACTCTAATGATGATCTATATCCCTGGCCTGGGAGTG